AAGTCGAATCTTCGCCAATTTTATCGTGAGGAGCTGCCGCTTCACCTTCATGTCCTTGGTCAGAGAGGAGATCTTATAGATGCCGCTGACCAGCGGACCGTTGGAGGAGGTGAGGAGGTCGATATTGGCGTCAGCTTCTTACTGGGCATCTACCATCTTGCTAATTCCCTCCTCGACTATGGTACGAAGGTCGTTGTTCTTTTGAAAGGCTTCTTCGTATGCTGCGGTCAGATCCTCTGCCGATTTGAGCACCTTGAATCGCTGCTCAACTGACTTGGCATAGAACCCAAATGACAGGTGAGGCACCAAACTGTCCACGTGTCCGAACATGTCCTGGCCCAATAGCAACCGATTGCGACGACTATTAGCTTGCTCGTATACTGACCTTAGTTGTGCGATGGGAGTGTTTATTATATTAAGCTCAGTTTCGAGGTGTGTTAGAGAATTAAACAAAAGGGAGGAGCTATTGCCTTGGAAGCCATCTAGAACTTGAAGCCGGCGAAGCAAAGCGTTATAGATTGTATATGCGCTCTTCCAGTCCTCTGTATTACTGCTGAAGAACAAATCGTGGTCCCAAGAGCTGTCAAAGAGGTTTAGCGCTTAGAGCTTATGGATTAGTAATAAATAGTGGCATAACTAGCAATATGTACATAATTACCTACGGAATGTGCTTAAATGTTACATCTGAAGCGGGGAAACAGCCCGGCAACGTCAAAAACGTGTACTTTTAACTATATAAATTCAAGATTCCCTGCCCTTCTCTTAAGGCCCCGACGGCTTCACTCAAGGGTGCTTATTCTTATTTAAAAGAAAAAAAAGAAGAAAAAAAAAAAAGACGGAGTAGTTATAAATAGCAAAGCGTGCATGCGGAGGATACGGATAGCGATCCTACTAATCCCATTAGGAAGGTCGGCTGTTCGGACGAAACGGAGCCAGGAGGGCCGTGTGGAGGGAGAGATTAAACGGGCTGTACACGGACGAACTCCCCATACGAAAAAGCTATCATATCAAGCTTCCGCCTTACCGAAATTAAACCTTAACCGGCATCAGGGTCTTACACGCTGATCCACCATGATATCCGGGGAATTGCCTGTGCGCTGTGCAGAGATGAACTATGGCTTCTCGAGAGCGACCGACAAACTAGATAATTGTGGAAGAACAAAAAGAAAAAGAGAGACCTATCATGACTGTACCAGGCAAGCCTCATGCCGAGGCTTTAGGAAGGTGATGTTTTAGTGATTCCTAGCCCAGTATCGGGCCGACGATCACAGCGATTTAGGGATAAGAATTAGGGTCTCGATGGCCCCAACTGTGGGCGCTTAAATGTTGACTCCGCAATATATTGGTCGATTTCGTGATGGTCCCTGAAAGACCCTTGTTCCACAGTACCTTAGTTTCAGAGGTCTGTTTCAGACTAACCATGTACTAGCCAAAGCGAGTAGGGGTCAATAATCACAAAGTGATTCCTGTTAGGGTTACATAACTGACAATGAATGACACAGCCTGTCTCAGGAGTCCGGCAATTGTATTGGTCCCTTTACAAACCCAGACTGCGTAATGATAAGCGCTAGCTAAGACATTCACAGGGGAGCTTAGTCAATTCACACGGCTCATTCCGTGAACCGGACAGACCGGTCTGAGGCGAAAGGGAACAAAGTCACACGACAGTGGGGCGGGCAACCGCATGAGAACAAATGATAGATATTAAAGTCCAAGTCCTCCTCCGGAGTACATCCTGATCCACTCCTCGCAAATTGGCTCGGCGGATAGTTGCATGTTTTCAAAAGTCCATTTATTTAATCTATCGCCCGCCGCCCATTCCCACAGGCTGACGTGCTGCTTTTCGTCATCCTTACCTATGTGAAAATATGGCCAACCTCGCCAGGTTAATAAAGTTAATCAATCGTCCATTATTACAGGCTGCTACTGTGTTTATAATAATTATCTTAATTTTCTTGGCGCTGCCGCACTCATCGTATTCAGGAACGAGCGCAAGCACGCCCGGGGCAACGCGCCGCGATGTAGACGCAGTGAAAAATGAGACTCTTGGGGTACTCCTGTCTACGCGCAGTAATATGATCATACCGGTCGCTGATATTCCTGGACCAGTTCGAGAAGGTCTTCTTCATCAACATGCCGAACCGACCGGACAAGCGTGACTATATCACACTGGCTTCCTCGATCCTACAATTCCACCCAGAGCCAGTGAACGGGGTGTTTGCAGACGACATTGACAAAAAAGCATATCCTTCAGTAAGTATCACTTTCGCTAGAAAGCCCTATAGAGTCGCTACTAAGACCTTGCGATTTGCCGCAGAATTGGGACCATGGCAAGCTACCAGCTGAGATGGGGGCCTGGCGGGCGCATATGAATGTCATGCAAAGGTACGAGAAGATAGGCAGAATTGTAAATCCTGTCTCATTCCCGCTAAAAGGAACTTCTCTGCTCCAGAATAGTACAGGACCGGATCTCCACCGCATTCGTCCTGGAGGACGACGCGGATTGGGATGTCAACTTGAAGAAACAACTTCAACGATTTGCAACCGCTTCGCAGCTAGTGCAAGGTGATACTAAACCTTCACATTCACCCTATGGTGACTCGTGGGACCTTCTGTGGATAGGACACTGTGGGATACAGTTCAAGACAGGTCCAATTCATGTGACAACGGATGATATCACGACAGTTCCTCTCCCTGAGCTACCACGCTACTGGCACGGTTTTCCCGCGGGTGCTGACAATGGCACTCGTCTGGTAGCAAGGATGCATGATGGAGTATGTAGTCTTGGATATGCAATTACCTATCTTGGAGCCCAAAAGCTTCTTTCTGCGCTTTCCTTGACACCGAAAGGTGATGGTGCTCCGTTCGACGTGGCGATAGGTCGGTTCTGCCAGAATGGCTGGTTGAGATGCATTGCCCCCTTTCCGTCGTTGATTGGACTCTGGAAGGCGGCTGGTCCAAAGGCAAGGGAGTCGGACATCCACAACGATGATGGTTGGATCGAAAAGGAGACCTCAGTTGGAACTGTATACAGTGCCATGGACAATGCTCGTCGCTTGTTGAATGGTGAACGTACAGTGCATGCAGTATTGAACGACGCACCGGCTCATGAAATTGACCACACTACGTTGGAGCTACCGGAAGGGACGTTGAAGATGCTTGACGATACCGGTATAAATGAGATTATCAAAGGGAATGTATGAAAATATTCTTTAAGGTTGGAATTTCAATATTATGTAAAACACCTGTGTCGTCGTTTCGTTTTAGCCTAGTATACAATAAACCTCCACAGCCCGAATAAACTAGGGAAGCTATATAGTGTATCACAACTCTGGGGTGAAGGACTTCTCCTAGATGGTCCAGACTTACACTTTCAGTCTCGAAGACTCACCGATCTTCTTCTTCTGGATAAAGGCTGACGATATCATCACGGCATCTAACGAGTCTGCTAGTTGTGGATTCAAGCACATTTGCCTTCGTTTGATCGTCATTGAGAACACGGGCAATGTCAGAAAGCTATGACAATTAGGGCTTAGGAGACTAAGTCAATTTGTTACGGCGAGCACTTATACTCCCGCCCTAGGATGAAGGGCCAGCTTGCAGAAGATGAAGACAACGATCTGAGCCATTGTAACAATAACTGCAGTGGGAAAGACGATAGGTTCCACCAGAAACATCTTCAACAGTCGCACTAACACAAGTATTGAGTCCCCTGAACTTCCGATGTAATAGCTTCAAGTGTCCTCTTCGAGTCTCAGGCTCATATCTCTCGGGTACCCACTCCACGGCCGGGACGCAGGCCCCCAGAGGAATTGCCCTGAGCTAGAACCTCCAATGAAGAGGGGCTGCAGAATAATACAATATAGCTATACTTGATTAGCTGGCCTTATTAAATGAAAGCTAAAAACTATGACAACGAGGTATATACTGCAGTGGAAGTAAAGACAAGCAGATATGTCTAGGAAAATAAGGGAAACTCAAAGCCAGACGTATAGATTCATATTGGCATAAGGTCAAGTTATTAGGAAATACTGTTCAACCTGCGGACTTGGTAATCCTGGATTGCCTCTCTTGTATTGATAGAAATTGGGCAGTAATGGCGGAGGACCTCATTACAGAAGGCGTTCAAGTACGGTATACACTTGTGAGTACCGGCATGGGGACTGAAGTCGAAGACATTATGAAGACAATAGAGATGAGCTCAGATCTCTTCACAGAGCCGATATTGCACTTTAGGGAACTTGGACAGGGCCACAATGGCCCATTGCATGGTAAGAGCTGTAGCCTCGTAGCTTGCGGCGGCGTACGTAAGAGTGTGGGATAGTGCTTCCTCTTCTGTAAACCGGTCACAGCCAAGCATTACCGAGGTGATCTTATCATATTCACTCCTACGACCTTCATCCAGCGTTACCTTTTTATGACGATGTAGTTGACTATTATTTTTTACAAGGGGAGTTACATATGCCTAATATGGGTGCCACTCTATAGGGGTAGATAGTATGACGTGGGCCACCGCTCTCGCACCTACTAAGCCCCCTATAGAACCCTTAGAAGTAGTACTAGCCATAACCTCATATTTCTCTCATGTTAGAATACCGCTCTGCCTTGGAAAGTACCTCGGTGCTATTGTATATTTCAGCCCCGCCCGGGCCCCTCTAGCAACTACGCACTATGCTTGTATATAGGGCACCCCTTAATCGGGGGCAGCAGTTAGTAGATCGTCAATTCCAACGTACAAACTAACCCGCTTTTCCTTTTAGGTTGCGTAGCACTATACTTCTACCCAGGGCTTAGGCCCTAAAGGGGCCTTAGGCCGCTAGGATGGTAGGAGAAATCGAGGAACCCACCCAATCTGCCATCCATACCAACAACTAAACCCCATACTTAGGTAACATGGTAGGAAGGGTGCCCAAGGCAGGATTCGAACTCACAGCGGTTAGCGGCGCCTTGGTGAGGCTACCACTCGATTACCACCAGGGCGGGAAAAAAAAGAATCGTATTCCCCCGACCCGGGATCGATCCGGGGACCTCTCGGTTACAAAGACATTTGTTTGAAAAGAATATTACAGCCGAGCGCCATATCCAACTAGACCATCAGGGGTTGTGCGATTCCAAGCCCAAATTTTTGCCATGAAGAGACTAAGCTACAACGTTCGCCTTTCTTAGTAGGCGGGACGGGGAATGAGACTGAATTGATATGGCACGCGATGAGAACCATGGGAGCTCTTTTCAGAGCCCAAACATCCCGATATCCATGGGTAATTGACGACGTGGCATTAAGGCATCTGAGATGTTGGTCCAGCATTCGATTGATTGTCTATAGTAAAAAGCCCTCCAATTCCTGCACATTTCAAGACGAATTTCAGGACGGGAGCCGGGGTGAATACATATAGTTTCTCGGCAAGAACATGATAGGCTTCATTGAGGCCAAGAGCAAGAAGAATCTCTTGATTCAGGAGGAGATATATACGAATCAGCTCTTCGTTGGGAAAGATCAGCGCTAATGATTTGACTATTTCACCATAGTTCTGATGCACATCGTTCAATTCCCCAAGTCATATTGAGCGGTCCTATGGGAAATTGTTAGCTGTTCCAAATACTATTCCAAATGCATTCATTGTCATCTGTGATCCTACCTGAGGAGTAGGTATATTTCTGAAAGTGGTGATGAAGTTGGAAGATATATATATATTCGGTATAGCAACGCGGATACAGTTGGTGTGAACGACGAGAAAATAATAGCTGAAGTTCGAGAGAAAACTAAGGCACCCACCGGAAGATATAAAAGCGACACGATGGTAGTTGTAGTGTATAGCCGTACAGTAAGCTTTTAGCAAGAGCTCACTCTTGATGACGACAGGTGCTATGAGCAGAGTCAAGTGCAAGAGAATAGGCGCACCAAGACTATGCTGTGCTAAACGTAGTGTAAGTTAGCCAAATGTGAGATGTAATGAAGTCCAAGAAGAGGAGAGAATGGACAGATTAAAACAATAGATATGGGTGATCAATGTCTAAACTTATCGTTGATTAGTGTAGCCGATGTTTCTCTGACCTGCATATAACTAATTCTGTTGCACGTAAAGACGTACGTCTGAATAAGTCATATTCTTTGGCCTAGTCCCCCTTGCGGTGTGCACCTTCAAAGGCGCTGACAAACAGAGCGAACCTGAAAATAACCGAAAGGATAACACAGGAGTACATCAACTTTGTACACTAAAGGTTCCGTTAAATCCCCGTCCTACACCAAAGCCCAATGTTTCTAACTACAATTATTAAGAAATAGTCCGTCCTGCACGTGGTGATGTGGGATATGCTTGTCTCGATGTTTGTTAAATGCATCTCGCCCAGGTAAGATGATTAGTTATGTTTAATCCCTTGACAACACGAGCCATGTCAATCTCCGTGGAAACTGCTCATGAAAGGGCTTAATCGTGCAGGCCTATACGAATTTTGATAACAAGGGAAAAACATACTACCTCGTGGACGATCACTAGATCTTGGGACGAGGATGTTCCAGTCTCGGAGCGATTTATTTCTGCACGAGCTCATTGGGAGAAACACAATGCCCAGAAGTTGACGGGGCTGTGAATCCGCTTACTGGAGAACTTCTTCACACATCCGGGAGGTGTGTGATTAGATCAGACCAGATGATTAAAATCGGTCGTAGCGACATATTGGATCATGGCACACTGGGAATAGGAGAAGTCCGACACAACTGTAGGTTTCATGGCGTTTACTTCCAAGTTCTTGTGGACGATGACCCAGAGGCATAAGTGCTGGACTTTGTTGTTGTGGCCACTTGCGTCATTGGCGTTTGTTGGACTATTTTGCTTCCTAGCTTTATTCCGTAACCATCCAATGGCTGACTGAGCATTGATAGCCTTTTCCAGGAGTTCTTCACCAGTCAAAACCTGGGTTGATCGGCATGTCCTCCAGACGAATATTGTAGTAGCGGCGCCCCTATCAAGACAAGGTCCCTGTCACCTGTCCTAATCATCCGCGCAGAAAGTAGAGCCCAAAGTGGGCTTGTGTTTGTTTTCGACCAACCTGTCACTCGGGATCTAGTCGTTGATTGTTGGCCTCGGTTATCAGGGGACGAGGCACACACAGGAAGAAAGGTGATTACAGACATCTTGCCGTTGTGGCTTGGGGTAGTTTGATGTAATTTGTAATAAAGTATGATGTCAATTCGAGATATATAATGAGCAAAGTTCCCCAGAGTAGTCTATGCTGTAGCTCTAGGATAGGTCACCAGGATCAATCCTATTCTTCATCTTCTGAAAGAATAACCTCGACACCAGATAAAGCTTTCAACTTGTTGATCGCCTGCTTAGTCAATGGCCTAGGTAAACCTTCCGCGTTAGTCCTCACAGGTTCAATTTATACATCAAGAGGCCGGTGAAAGCTTACGCAGGGCAAAGTATCGGAGGAAAGCTGGGTTGCATTATAAACTCATCGGTTTCGGCATCGTCATTAATGATCCTGTGGCGATGTTTAGCAAGTCGTCTCTTTTTAGATGAATCTCAGGTGAACCTACGAAAAGACTTCCTTCTGATGCTCCTCGTAGCTTTCCGGATCGATGAATCGAATGCGGGCTTCCTGGTAGAGTTATGTTAATTCTTGATTGAATCCTTGAATGAAAAGCCCTCGCCACACATCTCAGTTACCTTCCTGTCGGACATGTTGCGCTGGTATGCGGGGATGACGGTAAATAAACAATTATAGATCTTGTCCGTTCGACAGAGCTTTGGCAGAGTGTCGGCCAAGCTCTATTTATGCTCGAACAATTGCTCGGAAATACACTCCCAGCATACCCCCCCACATCTCAGCTGAGTTGACATGGTAGCCGAGGTGTGACGTATCAGCTGAGGCCAATCTGCCGATCAGTGGGGAAGTGGGAACCCAGGGAATCGTTCCCTACCATCACTGTATTGCAGGTCGCCAGACGGCGACTTATTCTATCTCTCAGTATGGTCTCTAGCATTGCCGAGAGCGGGGCTATTCTCCATATAAATTAGGTCCATTCAACCAGTTAGAATTGTATGTACCCCTCAGCCTCAGCTAGCCAGCGTAGTTCTCATTTTGGTCCCCCCCCCCCTCCCCCCCAATATGTGGTCCACCTGTATGCTCATCGGCCTTGTGTCAAGAGGCCTTGTAGACGCACATTCCCAGAGTTTACATATTGAAAGTTTCCAGTAGTAGCTCTCATATGAATACAACCTCCCAACTTGACGTACGTACCATTCAAAGCTGAGCTGGGTAATTCAGATTCGCACAATCAGCACATATCGTTCCGCGCACGCACTCTCGGGGGCGGGAGTACGCGGGAACATGTAAATTCGGCGAATCAGTGGGCGGGAGAAACACATATGCCTGATCTGCTTAACAACTAGGGCTAGGGTAGGTATCTGTTCACCTCGTGACTACGGCATGAACAAGTCAGCCCCGGAATTGGCCCCTGGCATTGAGAGCCCGGTGGCTAAGGATCCCCTATGGATGTATTGTTATATTATCCTTCGACATCTGGAACTTCCTGGATTGCGGGGCCACCTCTGCTTCCTAATTTTCACAAATGGAATAAGAAAGAGCGATATTCCGGTCGCCACCGCTGTGAACCGAAAGGTGAAGAGATAAGTGACTACATCGGTGGCTGTCGCCTCCGTCCTTGCCTTGATAGAAATGTATATCGAAGTTGAAATCCCCAGTGATAGATTCCCACATAGCCTGGTAATAGTATTGAATATCCCACCCGCAACTGACTGCTGCTCCGGAAGCGAGTTCATCACGTACATCTGTATCACTGTTATGTTAACGCATCCAGATCTCAGTTAAGCCAAAGGCTACAGCGGCGTGGAGAACTCACATTTGTCACGTTGTACTGAACATCAACCCCAATGACCATCAATATCAGGCTGGGAAAGATGAACGCCCAGTACGGCGCCTCTTCCCTCAGAAGGCTCGGGATGAGGAAGGCTGCCGTGTATGCTACAGTGCCGACTCCCATTAGGACCTGATTGCTTACCTTATAAAGAATAAAAGCACAGACAACATCAATTGCTATGCCGCCAATAACCATGGGTAGCAGTTCAAGGGCGATCTTAATGGCGGAATCTTTGCGGACATTCTGCAGCAATAGAGAGAGCCAGAATGTAGTGGAGGAGAACCCCACATCCCCTAAACACTGAGCAGCAATCACCTGCGTGTAAGGTGTTCTGTCAGCAAATTGACTTGACAATGTTTCCCCGCAGATCCAGCAATGCTCCACGTACCGCGGAAAATGTTGGATCTTTCCAGATAGCGAGCGGTATGAGCGGGAATTGCGCCCTTGATTCCCACCATACGAAACAGATAGGTAGGGTGGACCCCACGCAAAGCAGTGCGATTACATATCCCGTACCCCAGCCATGTGGAGCATCAGCTGCCAGTCTCCAAATAGTCGGCACATGTACTCCACGAGGAGTGAAAGTGGTCATGCTCACGACAAAGAAGCAGTCAGTGACGCAAAACCGACAATGATAAATACTGTCCCCATGACATCGAACCGCTCCAGGGATTCGACAGCCAAAGGCATATCATTAGTCCCGTCCGGCGGGAAAGCCCATGGGCCCACCATAGTGACGGTTGCATAGAGAACTGCAAGGGAGCGGAACGACGTCCGCCAGGTAGAGATATCTGCCGCGATGCCTGATATCACCATACCTCCTACGTTCCCCAGTGGATTCCCGGCCCTGAAGCATGCAAAGGCGCGATTTCTGCGGGCAGAAGAAACCGTATACACAGAGCCAAGTTTTCCGATTGCCGATGGAACAACGCTAGAGGAGAATAGCCCAATAACACCCGAGAAGACAACCAGGTATATTGGGGAGGATGCAAAGCTGGGAGCCAAGACAGCAAATGTGAATCCCACCATGCAACGCTAAGTGCCGTAATTGCCTTACCGTAGTGCCACCTTGCTCAAACCATCAAATCGGACTTCTGTCGTTGGCGAGCTAGGCTAGCCAAGGTGACGGCGTGGAGTGCTTCCTGGCAGTATATGGACGAGCTGTCGGTATACAAAGTTGGGAGAATATTGCAGAACACACAGCCAGAGTCAACTGCATA